AAATCGCTTTCAAGACGCAACAGTTGCGTTGACCTGCGGGGTTGAATTTCCAGGAAAGGCGTCAGGGTACGTTTTTGATTCCTAGGACGCGGCAGTCATGTTGATTCGTGGCGTTGGAGACCCAGGAATGGTGTTTCGGCGCGATTTGGGAATCTCAGACGGTTGCCTTTCCAAGGGGCCCCTCCCGCATTGAACATAATTAACTTCTTGCAGGGACCTGTGAAGAGGGAGCTTGGAGGAAGGGCTTATCAAAACTCAATGATGCGTCTTGGGATTGCACTGGTTATCCTTTTCCTCCTCCACCACATCCTCCTCGCCATCATCATCACCATCAGCATCGCCATCATCATCATCATCATCAACATCATCGTCGTGATCATCAGCATCATCATCATCAGCATCAACATCATCATCAAAATCAGCATCAGCCTCATCATTGGCATCATCATCTTCGTTTGCTCGTCACCATCCCCAACATCATCATCATCGTCCTCATTTCGATTACCACCACCATCATCCTAATCATCATCGACACCATAACAATCATAATCACCATTACCAGTACCACCATCATAACCGCCATCACCATCAACATCAACATCACCATAATAAAACATATTACCATCACCAACAACATAATCATCATAATCAGCATCCATATCGTCGTCGCCGTCGTCAGCATCGGCATCGTCATATCAGCAATGCCATCACCATCACCATCACCACCAGTACCATCATCGCCATCACCAATACCACCATCATCATCGCCATCAACATCAACAACCAATTCATCGGCATAAACATCTTCATCATCACCATCATCATCATCTGTGCCGTCATCATCAGCGCAATCCTCATCACCACCTTTACCATCAGCATCACGATCATCATCAGCAGCATCAACATCATCACCATCAACATCACCATCACCATCACCATCGCCATCAGCATCATCATCACCATCATCAGCATCAGCATCATCAGCATCATATCCTCATCATCCCGAGGCTCGAGTGGCGCGGACGGCGGATGGCCATGCTTTCTCGCCGAGGCGCGCTGGGGTGCACCACAATGGACGAGGTCGCCCGAGGCTCTGCCTTGACCAATCGAAGCGGCACACCTCCCTTTGAGTCACATCCCATGTAACTCAATCATGCTACATGCCAGCTCTGTCGAAATGAAGATCCTGCGTGATACACTTTTGGGAAGCAGACGGTAGTACTTGACCCCAAGATCCCACAGGAGAGCTGAAATCACACCAGCAAACCACCGTTGCTCCCCTCCTCAAACCCCCACTCTCTGACGGTGCGCAACGGGTCTGGAAAGCCCCCACCGACCCTAGATCTCAACGGTCATACGTCTTCCAGGCCGGCTCTGAACGACCAAGGGGTGGCGGCGGGGGGTCCCGCTTCGATCGGCGAATCTTTTGCGGCCGCGGTGAGCCTACCTACCAGCCGACATCGAGGGTGCGCTAGCCGTTGCACGCGATGGCCCACGCCGCTCGCGCGCGCGTCCCTGGGGACCTGCGCGGCCTGCCTGGGCGCCTCACCATCCTCTGCGCTGCCCTACTCAATATCGTCATCATTATCATCATCATCATCATCATCATCATCATCATCAGCAGCAGCAGCTGCAGCAGCAGCATCAGCATCAGCATCAGCAACATCATCATCATCATCATCATCAGCATCATCGGCATCATCACCATCATCATCATCATCAGCATCATCATCATCGTCGTCGTCATCGTCATCGTCATACTCATCGTCATCGTCATCGTCATCATCATCATCACCATCATCACCACCATTATCATCATGAGCATGATCAAGTATCATATTTATCATCATCATCATCGTCATCATCATCGCCATCACTCGCCATATTCATCATCATCATGATCATCAACAGCATCACCATCACCATCACCCTCACCTTCAGAATCATAACCATCGCCATCGAGACCCATCATCACCATCACCATCGCCATCATAATCACCATCACAAACATCATCATCATAAACATCGTCAACACCATCATCAGCATCACCATCACCATCACCATCATCATCAAACTTATCATCACCACCACCACCATCATCATCAGCCGCATCGTCATCATCATCAGCATCATCATCATCACCATCATCATCAGCATTGGCATCACCATCAGCATCATCATCATCATCATCATCATCATCACCACCACCATCATCACCATCATCAACATCATCATCACCAGCACCACCCTCTCCATCACCCTGTCCGATAGACTCACGCGATTTCAGTTCGCAACGCAAGCTGCTGGACCACGCGTAGTATCCTTCGAAGCGGTGTCGTGCGGCCTTCCTGCAGACACAGTGTGTGTTGCGGCCGTTTGCGACGCAGTTGCATGATTCGTATTTTGCCACACGACTTTGTCTGTGGCCTGCTGCCTGCGTGCGTGCGTGCGTGCGTGCGTGCGCGCGTGCGTGCGCGTGCGCGTGTGTGTGTGTGTGTGTGTGTGTGTGTGTGTGTGTGTGTGCGTGCGTGCGTGCGTGCGTGCGTGCGTGCGCGCGTGCGTGCGTGCGTGCGTGCGTGCGTGTGTGTGTGTATACGTGTCGCGTGGCCTTCCGCACAGCCCCGTCCTGGCAGGCACACGCGCGCGCTCCGTGGGCCCCCCTGGTGGTGCCTCCCCCGGGTCTCGTCGCACCCCGCCCTCCGGCTGGCGTCCATCCCTTCGGCCTGCGAGGGGCCGGCAGGCCCTCCCTGACCGCCGCCCTCCCAGCTCCTGCTCGGGGCCCTCGCACTGCCCCCAGAGGCCCCCCCCGCCCCACCGCCCCCACCGCTTGCCCCTGCTGGTCTGCCTGGGCTCGCCCCGGCTTCCAACTCCAGCGGCCGTGCAGGCGGCGCGCCTGGGCCCCCCGTCTCCTGCGTCTGGGTCTGCCTTTGCCAGTCCTCACGTCGCGCCCGGCGGCCGCTCTCACGACACCGGCCTTCCAGGCGCGCCGTCACGGCCACCCCTCACTCGCCTTGCCGCCGCCGCAGGCCTGGCCCTGCCTCTGGCTCGGGCGACGAGTCCGGCGACGCGCAGGTGTAGCGCTTCCTGGCTCACAAAATCACACTCCGCTGCCAGCGTAACGCCCCCACCGACCGCATCGCTGCGGTTGGATGGCGCATGTGGGCGCTCTCCCGACCTTAAAGGTCGACCAAACATCGCCCAGTACCACGATCCCGTCGCCCTGCGTCTACTCGGCCGCGGAGCTCGAGGATGTCTTCGCCTCCCTCGACCCCACCGCACTGGCTGGTGTCTCTCCCCACCGCGACCCCCCCTGCAGAGGACGCGCCCTCCGTCATAGACGGACCTGCCGCGAGGAAGCGGCCGGCCTCCCGCCAGGTCCACCAACACAGCTCGCAGAGACGGCGGTGAGGCCTGTCGTCGATGCTCGCGGCTGCGCTGGCGAGCATGATGGCGTCGGAGCCCAGGGTGCCGGAGGTCTGCGTCCGTGCGGGCGGCGGTGCAAGCAGGATACCGACGCACGCGTTTCAACGCTGTCCCCTTCGCGTCCACGTCCTCCTCCGCGCTCGCCACCCCCTGGTCGTCCCTGCAGGCCGCCTCGCTTCGGCGCCTCCGTCCTCCCCACTCTCCTGCTGGGCCGCTGTGTCGCACGGCTCCCTGCGCCGCCAGGGCTGTCCCACGTTGGCCCCGCCGGGGTATCCGCCCGGGGCTCCCGTTCTTGCTGGACGGGCTCTGCCCCCCGCGGGAGGCGCGAGAGCGTCAAGGTGACAATGCACTGGCTGGATGCACCCCTGGGTGTTCCCGCTTGTCCGCGTTCCCCGGACGGCACCTTCGCCACGGCCGGCGCTGCCACGTGCTGGGCGCCCGTGCGCGTTCCCGCTCTTCCCTCTCCGCCCTCGCCTGGCCAGCGCTGCCTCGGGCCCCGCCTCCCCTCCCTCGCTCCCCGCGCTCTCCTCCCTGGGCGGCAGGTCCCCCTGCCCCTGCTGTGACGGGGTCGGGGCTGCCACGCCTCGTTGCCGCCGCCGCTTCGCCCCCTGGCCGCCCCGCCGCTTTCCGCTGCTGGCCGCTGCCGGCCTGCCTTTCTGCTCCTCCCGGGCCCCCATCCTCTTGAGGGGCAGATCCTGGCCGTCCTGCAAGGACCGCCATCTCGGCCGCAGTCGTTGTCGGCACGCCGCCCCGCCTCGCCAGCTTTCCCGACTTTTCAGCCTGCGACGTTTCCTGGTACGCCGCCGCCTTGGCTTCCAGGTCGCCTTTGGCCTCCTTGTCGCTCCACTCTGCTTACTTACTCGCTCTCCCCGCCTTCCAATCTCAGTTGGCTTATGGCACCTTCTAACTCACCGTAGTCTCGTCCATCCACTGCTCCCCTCCGCCATGCCCAGACGGTTATGGCTGCCGGCGGCTGCGAGACCCTAAGTGGTCTCTGAGTGCTCGGGCGGTCTTAGAGGCGCGCGCGATTTGCTGCTTTCCGATCTTCTACGCCCTGTCGTTGCGCGCGGGGCCGCGATGCCAAACGAGTGTGTGCGTGTGTGTGTGTGTGTGTGTGTGTGTGTGTATGTGTGTATGTGTGTGCGCGTCGTCGTCCCCCAAAACAATCCTCGTCGTCACCATCCTTATCACCATCCTTCTCATCCTCTACATCATCTTCATCATCACCACCACCATCATCATCATCATCAGCAGCATCAGCATTATGATCCTGACCATGATCAAGATCAGATTCATCATCCCCATCATCACCATAGTAATTACCATCATCCTAATCATCATCAGAAACATCATGTTCCCCACCTTATTCTTAATAGTCATATTCGTATTCATCTTCATTACACTGATCGTCATCGTCAACACCATCACAGTTGCCATCATTGTCGCCATCATCAGTATCATAATCATGCGCGTGATCATGATAATGGTCATGGGTGTGCCTTCCGGCGCGGCTTCGATCCCCTCCCCCGGCAAAAAAAAAGACAGGGCATCGTCGCCGCGGCAGCCCGCGCAAGGACTACGGGGTCACTGTGGGGCCCTGCGGCGGCGCGGTGCTGCGAGGGCGAGGACGGCGACGAGGGAAGACGACCGAGGACGAGGACGACGGCCAGGACGAGGAAGAAGACATAAACCTTCGACCGAGGACGACAGCCAGGACGACCGGGGACGAGGGCGACAGCCAGGACGACCGAGGACAGCCAGGACGACCGAGGACGAGGACGACAGCGAGTCCAGCATAAGAACACAAATTTTCGGAGCTCCGCGCGGATTTCCTGGGTCTGCGCTGGACCCCCCTCCCTGGAGCGCGGAGCGCGCCGGGGGCGGCGCCAGAGGCGCCGCCAGCGGTTACTGGCGCAGATCCAAGAAATCCGCGCGGAGCCCCGACAGTTTATGCTTGTGCTCTTTCTTCATTTTCGAGACAAGGACGAAGAAGAAGAGGAGGACGACGACGGCAAGGATGAGGAGGACCGTGGCCGAGGAAGAGGACAACTCATCATCTCCCGCCTGGCATGCCGGATGCGTGGAATCCACTGCTCAGGGTCATCCGAAGGAAAACTATTTCCATCGATCACGCGTTATCCAACCAAACACTATTGAGAGACTTGCGGGCAAATCCTGCAGAAACTTGAGGGTGTCGAGCAAGAACGTGCCACACTTGGAAGCTTGAGGAAACCTAAGTTGGCTGAAAAACACATGTTGTTGACTGCTGGCTCCCTGGAAATCGCCAGGCGCATATCTGTACTCGAGGCTGGAGCCATGTGGCATACCTATAAAGTCCTTACATCAGTCATTGGCTGCATTGGGCTGAAACCTCTCGAAGCAATTTGCCCTGCAGCTGTCGAGTAGCCTTCAAAACCTTAGTCAGGGCCGTTTTCCAGACGTAGACTCAGCTCGGAAGTCCAAGAATAGACCCCTGTACGCATGTTCTACGTTAGTTAGGCTGTACCTTTGGATTTGTGTAGGGAGTCGAAGGGCACGTCCCCAATGAAATCGGGGAGATTGGGGGCTGTATGATTTGTGGGCGCACGGCGAATCGCCGCAGCCACGTGGTTGCCGTGCAGTGTCCTGGAGTTCGAAAGATAGTAGCGAAGGCGCGCCCCACTCAGATACTGTGGGTCGTCGGATCGGCATACTGTTGTGGGAGCTGCGGCCACTACGTAAATGATCAGACGAATGGCCTGACAATGCGGTGCAACCAAAAACCGGGTGGATGGGAATCACACTTAACATGCGCTGCAGAATAGTTGACCACACTGGCAAGGAGGCGGACCCCTCCTGATCCACAAGCGAACACGTTCCCTCCTCGGTGCAGTAATTGCTGGGCCCTGACCTTATGGCCTGCAATGCAGGGGCTCAAGAGGCCCCACTGGAGGAGGACACACCTTGCTAGCCGCAAGTCCTCCCTGTGCCCGCCAGCGAGGCGCAGGCGTCTCGTGCTCACTTGCGCCCTGCTGCCGTCCTTCACGTCTCTTACTGAACCCTCTCATCCTCATCCTCCTCCTCCTCCTCCTCCTCCTCCTCCTCCTCCTCCTCCTCCTCCTCCTCCCTATGCGTTTGTTTGGGAAACGGGTCCTGGACCCCGGGGCCTTCCCCCAGGAACAACTCTTCATCCTGGGCTGTTTTCTGACAATCCCGGAGCCCGTGGAGGGCCCCGGGAAGTCCAACACGGCGACAAAAACTCATGACCCGCTTGCCTCAGCATTCGCTTCCCCCCTGGCGATCCCTTCCTCCCTCCTCGATTACCCCGCCCCCGCCCTCCTCCCCACTGCCTGCCTCGCTCCTGGCCCGACCCCTCGGGGAAGCGCTGGCCCCTCCGCTCCTGCGCAGACCAAGACCCTCCACCACTCGACGCTCGCCCTCGACGCCCCAGCCCCCAACTTCCCCCCCCCACCCCCTGGCCCGCCCTTCTCCGAGAGAGCAGCAAAAAGAACTGCATCGGAGGTCATCGATACAGTCAACCCGTATCATAAGGATGCGCGATAAGGCTACAAGGGCCTTGGAGGCCGATTTCGAAGCTTTTCGAGCGGGGCGCGGCCAGCGAAAGTGCTCAAGGATGGGCCGAGGAGGCAAGGATGCAAGGGTACCCCTTGGGAAGGTTGCCCACCCTTACTGTGCGGGTTGACTGTAGTGAGGTCGATCGTGAGGTCGATAGTGAGATCAATTGAGTGAGACGTTGATCCCTCCATCCCGAACCTCCTTCTCATCCGAAGGGTAGTCGTATAGGTAGGCATAGGCTTGTGGAGGTCTCCGCGCTGGGCTCCCCTCCCTGGCGCGAGGAGCGCGCCAGAGGCGGCGTCGGAGGCGCCGCCACGGGAGTCTGGCGCAGATCCGGGAAATCCGCGCGGAGCTCCGAAAGGTATGCCTCTGCACTTATTGCTTCTTCGATCCTCGCCGAGACCTCGCCAGCTCTCCGCGACCCACGCCGAGCCCTGCTGGAGTCCGAGCGAAGGGTTCGGTGGCAACTCATGGGAGCCTCCCGTACCATCTTGTCGACTCTTGCGAATCGACGCTGATCC